CCGATGGACCGACAGAACGGGCGGCGAAATCGCGAATCGCCCCGCTCTGCGAGGAGCAAACGTTCGAGGCGCTAGGAGCGAAAGATGACATGGATGGAAGCGAAAACGTGGACACAAAGGATGGCACAACAAATGATTGGCTTGGCCTACCTTGTACGGGATGTCCGCCGAATCCTGTCCCCGCGGCCAACAGGCTTGATGCAGAATCGGTGAGCGACGGCAAAGCAGCGGGAACGCCTCCCGAACAAGGCGGTGTTGTAGTAATGGCGCTCGCTGCGGACAAAACCGGCTGAGATGTAGTCGAGGCAGTTCCCGAAGATTCCCGCTCGGCTGCGAGAACAGCTTGCACGGTCTGCGTGATCAACGCAACCATTTCTGGCGAAACTCCCGCGATCGCCGGCCCGGCCGGTGGAAGAGACGCTTGAGAAACTTGCGACGAGGGAGGCGAGACGTTTTGACCAGCCGACGAAGACACGTTTGAAACCGAAGCCTCTTCTCCAGATGGAACAGGCAGTAACACCGGAGCGGTTTGCAAGCTATTAGTCGTACCCCGCGAACCCATCGTCAAAAAGGCAAATAAGAGCAAAGTCGCCAAGCACCGTCGAAAAGGCAAAAGTGCACGCGCAAATGAGTTGACCTCAAAACCCGAGCTGTAAAACCACGCGACCCCCTGCAGATCCCCCACCACTGCGCATGACCGAGACAAGGGAAACCCCAGACCAGCATTGTTTCGCGTTTAACTTAGCTTAAATTACATTTAACCACATAAAAGGTCAAAATGACGATAATTCCAGACATTTTGCCCGTCAAAATCTATGTTTGAACAGCCATACCTACCGAACCACGGCAAGTGCATAGTGGTCACGCCAGGGTCAATGTCGCCGGGAAAAAAAACTACGCGCGAGGAAGGGGACGCGAGTATCCTCCTTCCACGAGGTTACCGCAACTTCGTTCCCAGGCCCCGCCACCCCATGATTTCCACACGTGTCTGACACGCAGCCTAAGTCCTTGATCAGCAATTTTTGCTGGCCGAATTGATCGCCGATGATGATAAGGAACAAAAGAACTGGGATTGACGGGATTGTTTCCCGAAGCACGTCGCCGGTGCTCGCCAAAATGTTTACCGGACATTTCTGTATGGAGTGACCGTTCATATAACGCCCGAATAAGTCAGATGGCGCCTTCGATTTGTTCACTCCACAAAAAACCTGGTTTGCGTTTTGGAACCAAGAAATTGCGGTTAAAGTTGACTCCCGCGCACCTGTGGATTAAAGAATACATGTGTAAGCGGGAATAGACACCTGCTTCTGCGACTGGAAAGTACAATTTAAACGATAATTATGGATTAAGCGGCTAGTACATTGCGTGACTCAGTCTATTCCATGCTGGTTAAAACGGTACCTTAAGACACCAAGGAACGCGTGGCATAAAACAGAACCTGAGTTTAAACACTAATCCTGACATGAGACCAACAGGATGCCCATTAAAGAACAGAAAATGATGTGATGCGACTCTGTATACAGTACTAGAGGCCAAACGTGACATTGTCCCGTTCGAACTATACTTACTCCAATTGAAGAGCAACAGAACCCAGCATGTGTCCCTTGTTCGAGTCTGAAAGCGAACACTTTTTTCCGGCATAAGTCCCATTTTGTTCCAAAATTTTAACTTTCGTATGGTGGGAGTTAACAGTTTAAGTGGCCCGAAGGAGTTTTAAGCTCGAGATTTATCCCGGCATTTATCCCTTTTAAGGTGAGGATTAGAGTGAACGCCTCCGTCAATGTTCAGGACAACAAACATGGCCGTTAGGAGGTTGTCTTCTCTTCTGACAGAAAAAAAGAAAGCCGTCAATCGAAGAGTGGTTTCCAAATTTATTATTGCTTCCATCAACAGTCCTAGCTTTAACAGGTCCATCTTTTGCACAGTGGCAGACATTTTTCTTTACCGTGGTGTACCTTATCCTCGGAAACCCTCGAGCACTCAATCTGGTCGGAAGAAACGAAGCGACCAACGTTTTCAAGCGCTACCCGACAGACTACCCCTGGGCCTAGGCTGAGTGGACTTAAGCTAGAGTTTGTTTTGCGCAAAACCTATGACCAAACCCCAGCCCCCCACCCCGCCCCACAGAAAAAAAAACCCTCTGATATTTTGGTTAGGAGAGAAGACAGTACACTTGGTATCTTCGAACTATTCAGTTTTTAAACTAAAAGTACTTCGGTTAACCTTTTCTACATCCCCAGTGGGTAAAAGTTTCAAGTCTTGCTTAAGGCAATGTTTGTGGGGAAGTGTATGAAGGCCGACAACTGCCATTCGTCAAAATGAGATAAATTTGATAATTTTTGATTGAACTCTAATTATTTTGAATTGAAAATGAAGTGAAAGTAAAAGGCAAAATTATTTTCTTTTTCATTGAACTGGAAATAGATTATTTTTTTTTATTTTCAAATCAAAACAAAACGTTTTTTAATTATGAAATGAAAATAAAAATAAAAGTGAAATAAAAGCAGAAGTAAAATTAATATGTTCACGGCCGGGAACTGCCATTCAAAAGAACAACAAAAAAAGTAAAATTAATATGTTCATGGCCGGGAACTGCCATTCAAAACAGAAAATGTAAAATTAGCATTTTCATAGCCGGGAACTGCCGTTCAAAACAGAAAAAGTAAAATTAATATGTTCGTGGCCTGGAACTGCCGTTTTTTGTGTCGTTACGCAATAAGACTACATGAAAGGCTCCTAGGAGCAAGCTAATGGATGAATTGAATCGTAAACGGCATGGGTGCTAAGTGCCACTACTCTTGAAGTTCGTGATTGAGTTCCGTTATTATTGCAACCGAATGTTGAAGATTATCACCTCTGTATTTATAGTAACTAGAAGGCTTGAGAAACATTCCATTTTGAAATTCATTTGTTTTAAACTGCTTGGGCACTGTAACATATTCACTTTCTCCTTAGTTTTTTTATATTTCATGACTTTCTCTCTGTGTTGGGTAGATCTGTTTACATTTCTTTAGCATTTGATTTTTGGCATGTGTGTTTTGGCATACGGTATTTAGCATTTGTTTCTTGGCATCTACTTTTTGGCATACAGTGTCTGTTTTAAAAAGCATTCGTCAGCATTTCTATGGAAACTTTTAGGCATCTCTATAGCACTCACGCTTTTAAGGGAGCTAGATCCTTGCCCGAAGCTGTACTTGTTCGGACCTTAGGAATTCAAACCCGACACAGTCGAAGTATCCGATTGCATGTGCACCTGAATATTCTAGAAACTTGCTATCAGCGCGGCATTTCTTTAACGCAAAGATCAATTTTATGAGGGGTGATCTCCGCCAATTCCATTATGACGAACCTGCAATTTCCGGTTCCATCATCAGCACCGAAATTAGATCAACAGAGCAGAAACTGAGAAGTCAGAACCGAAATTGAACTAACAGAACAGAAATTGAACCAACAGAACAGAAATCAAGTTTGAACAGAAATTGACAAATCAGAACTGAAATTGAACCAACAGAACAGAAATTAACATAACCGTCAATTTCTGTTCTAAAAATGTCACATCGATATCATTCTAAATAAAGTAGAAATGGAATTGAGCGGAAGCAAGTTTGCCTGCGGGGACGAGAAAAGATTATTTACCAGAGCCTGTCTAGTCACATTTTATTTTAAAGAAAAAAGGGAAATGTTCTGCTTCTAGCATGACGTTTGGTTAACATCGTCATCCATGAGAGGTGAGCAATTCATTGACGAAATGTTTTGTTAGATGTGCTGCTTCGGTCGATTATGCTTCTAAGACTGAGACCTCTTTGTACGAAGCATTTAAAGAGAGCGAAGGTAGTTGGATGTCGTCAAATGCATGAATAAAATCCACAGTTGATTCAACTGGAATCTAGGCGAATTCCTAGCGATGAATCAAGCAAACTTTAAGTGATGCAGCAAACGAGGTTGATCATGATTCAACATCAAGGACAAGACAGGTAAGCTGGACTATCAAGGGTTTAGCAAAGAACTGATCCTGTACCTTACTCTTAGAATTTAAACCTCGTCAAAATTACAAAGGATCGGCATAACGGTTCACTTAACAAGCACTCATTTATCACACACATTTAACGTTACTTTTTTGCTTTCCTTAAACAGGAGACCCATGCAAAAATAGCTAACCTGGAAGAAAACACAAAGACTATCCATTTAAAGTTCAGGCTTAACAATGCTTTCATCAGAACATCTAAGAAACGATGGCGATTTTTCTTTTACTTGTCGTTACCTGTCTGAGCTCAAAAGTGAAATTACAAAAGGGACCATTTGATGGATTCGTCTCAAAACTCTATGGGCCTCTATTTAAAAAGTATTAGCCACAACCACCAGGTTTTAAGGTAAAGTGACATGAAAATTCTGGTTTGCGAAGAAAAAATAATATTTAACAATTATTCCTCGAGCCCGAATGGGCTCTGAGTCAATAGCCCATGACCCCGAAGGCCGAAATGGGCTATTGCCTCAGAGCCCATTCGGGCTCGAGGAATAATTGTTAATTAGTAAACTCCAACTACTTGGTCAAAAATATCGAGAGTAAAAAACTTTAGCTAGTTAAAGCTAGACTTTAATCATTTCTTGCCGCCAAAAAGACCGCGCTTTTCGCTACTAGTGGGCTATAACATATAGCCTAGTAGTAGCTCAACCAATCAGAATGCAGCATTGATGATAGACCACTAGTTGGATTTTACTAAAAAGTATTAAGCCAGGGCTAAAAGCGAAGCTCTGATAACATTTATAGTTTGTTCAAACAAAATATATAATCCTGAAATGCTAACCAGCGAAGGAAACGAGAATGGTGAAAAAACAACAATTGGTCTAACTTTTAGCTCTCATAGAAGTTCTCGTTGCAATTAATTGAAATTCAAGTTTGCTGTTTCTGACGACATAAAATTCCTCCTCTGGACCAATTCAAACTTAATTTCCAACAAAGCTGTAGACAAAAAATGAAATTCATTTGTTCCCACGTTAAAGTCTTTTGAGACTATGAAAGTACAATTATTAAAAGTAGCAGACGTTCCGGCTTCATTACGTCCCTTCAGAAATCTTGAACAGCCTTTCACTTCTTCCTTATCCACCTCGACCTCACGTTTTATTGACACCTTTTCAGAAGTAACTGACTCGCGTAGTGACATGGCTTCACAGCAGTCGAACTTCTTTGAAATCTCAATCTTACTTGAAGTATCTGAGCGTTGATATTTTTGCAACGACCTAAAATCTCTAAGCTTTGTACGCTCCATTACAAATTTATCTGAAATTCCTTTCTGCGGTCCCCCGGTGCAGGCTGTTGTCGCACGAAGGCTATGGTTTGTGAATGGACCTTCAATTCCAGCGTCTTTGCATAACCTTTTAATCGTTTCCCCCAGCATTATGTGGCCTACTGGACAATTTCCACACCAAACTGAAAAATGTATAAAAAAATATTGTGAGACTATTTTTTACAACATAACGCACATAATCTGCTGTATCCTTTAAAACTTACCTCGGGCATCATTGCCTCATCATCAGTTTCGACAGTGAAATTGTCACTAAAAGACTTCATTCTAATTGTTTTTAAACTTTTGGAGTCGTATGTTTTTTTTCTTGGTACTGGAGGCCATAACAATCGCTGCTGCTAACTGTAAAATATCTTTCATGCGTGAGTCATTAGACTGTTCACAGTCCCCTTTTTTTTCGTGAGATCGTCGAGATATAGCACGTCTTACCATTAATAGACCTTTTTACCGATACGGCGGCCACATTGAATTAATTCGATTTAAGGAGTATTATAGGATGCCCAGGGGGCATGAGCACTTTTCGTTTGTATTTTCGAGCGCTTTTCGGGACATTTTTTCTTTAAGTTTTCTAAGAATAAGATTGTAATGGGAAAAAAGATCCTTGTGCCGTGTTTGGATGTAATAATGATCGCCTTTTTCTAGTTTAGTATTAGAAATATGGTCTTTCACTGTATATTTCTCGGGAAAAAGGCGATCATTATTACATCCAAACACGGCACAAGGATCTTTTTTACCATTACAATCTTATTCTAAGAAAACTTTAAGAAAAAATGTCCAGAAAAGCGCTCGAAAATACAAACGAAAAGTGCTCATGCCCCCTGGGCATCCTATAATACCGCTCAAATCGAATAAATTCAATATGGCCGCCGTATCGGTAAAAAGGTCTATTGATGTTAAAATGTACCGAGGGGGCGGGCGTCGGGGATGATAGCGCCCCTGCTCCCTAAGTAGTTTTGTCACACATGCACGATAGCAGCCCGTAACGCAAAGCGCTCGATCTCAACGATCTTACGGGAAAAGAGGGGACTGTGAACAGTCTAGTGAGTCATCAGTAACATCCAATGCACTTTGGGAACGGTTCAAGATGGCGGACAATAGAAAAACGGTAGCGTTTAAAATTTCGTTTATACACAAGCTGAGTCATAAAGAATTGCTGTACTAGTTAAGAATCCGAGTGGAAAAATACTATATTTGTGTATTTTGATCCCTCAGTCTGAATATATCAGGACATGTCCCTAGGAAACTGTTCTTCGGTTCCGTTATTTTAAGACCACGGTAACGATACGGTACCGGAAACGATCGTTACCGTGAAATCCTAGGGCAGGCTTGCCACCCTGTTTAAATTGAATGAAACTCAACAACTGTCCTTTATTTTCTTTGTCAATATTGGTGTATTCACACATCTCTTTTGTTTCTTTTAATGTCACTGCAGCCTTTCAGCATTGGACATATGTGAGTATTGAAAATGGTACCATGATTGTAGTATAACCAGCCTAAAAGTTTAAATAAGTGGCTGTCTAGTATTATTACTGGTTATGTTTATACCTTTAGACCTGCTATCCTAATTGCAGGGAAAACAACTTTTACATGTAGTTAACTTTGCACAATTTTAGTAAGGCTTGTGGGGCTGATTAGTATGAATACCACCAAGTCTACTTGAAAGAGGGTACCCCATCCCCCCCCCCCCCCCCCCCCCCCCC